GTGGTGAGAGAGGAGCCGTGTGTGGCTGTGCTCGGTGCCAGCTCCCTGCGTGTGCCAGACAGCCATCCCTGTGGCCTGGCCCTCCTGAGCCGTGGCTCTGTGCAGGGACAGGGCACTGCTCCCATGCCGTGCCCGACCCCCTCACTGTGCTCTCCTTCCCCACAGACAGTTCTGCTAAACAAACACTGCAAGTTCCTGGCTCCCGAGCAGCTGCTCCCAGGCCCCCAGTGCCAGCCAGCAACAGCCGCCCTCAGGACGATGCCGACAGCAGCCGGGGGTCCCCACCGGAGCTGCCGCGCACTCAGAGGCCCTCCCTGCCTGACCTGTCCCGGCCTGGCACCGCTGGCGGCACCGGCATGAAGCACAGCTCCTCGGCCCCACCGCCCCCACCGCCAGGACGCCGCGCCGCCGCGCCCCCGGCCCCCCCTCCAGCACACGCCAAGGCCTCGCCCTACAACCGGGAGAAGCCACTGCCGCCCACCCCGGGACAGCGCCTGCCCGGCAGCAGGGACGGACCCCCTGCCCCACCACCCATCAAACCCCCCCCTTCCCCAGTCAGTCTCCGGTCGGGCGCTCAGGGCCAGTCTCTCGCCCCTCCACCTCCCCCTTACCGACAACCCCCCGGTGTCCCCAACGGCCCTTCCAGCCCCAGCAGTGAGTCGGCTCCGGAGCTGCCACAGAGACACAACTCCTTGCACAGGAAGGCACCCGGCCCGTTGCGGGGTCTGGCACCGCCGCCCCCCACTGCTGCCTCCCCGTCCCTGCAGAGCAGCCGCCCCCCACCGCCGGCCAGAGATCCCCCAAGCCGTGGAGCAGGTAAGAGCCACTCGCTCTGCGGTGCCTGGGGACAGCTGGGGTGATCAAGGGTTGGTGGGAGGTGATGAGCAAGAATTGGCTTTGGAGCACAGCAAGGCTTTTGCATGTGGTGTAGGGGCCGAGCTGGGGCAGGAGTTGCAGTGCCATGTTTAACACGTGTCCCATGACCGGCCAGCTCCTTCCAGTCCTGGTGCTGACTCCTGCCTGTGCTCTCCTGGGTTGGGAGATCAGAACATGGCAGAACGTAGCTCCCCTAAGCTTCCTGAACGTTACTGGGAGGGTGCAAAAAGCTATGGCAGAGCAGAGAGAAGCCTTTCCCTGGGTGTGCAGCCCTTGGGAACATGTCCCCATGGCTGAGGCTGGTGTTGGCTGTGTCCCGGTGCCCCCCCGTGCACTCCTGGGCTCCCCGTCCAGACCGCAGCTCCTGCCTGGGCCCCTGCCAAGCCACTCCGTCCTTCTGGCCCTGCCAGAATCCCTCCTCAGAGCTACAGCTGGGGATCTGCTCTGTCAGCCCGGGTGTAATTAGGCTAATGAGGAGCACGAACTGCCACGGAGCCTCTGCTGGAGGCTGGGCAGGAGTGAGAGGTGGGTCAGAGGGGCTGTGCGTCTTGTGTCCAGTGTCACTGCCTTGGTGACACTGCGGATGTGGCTTCCAGTGCTGGCAGGCAGCATCTTGGCTCCATGTGGAGCTGCTGCCCTGAGACTCGGGGATGTGCGGGGTCGTAGCTGCTCCTAGGATCCCCTCTAGTGCAGAGGGCCCTGTGCCCAGTGTGGGCTGGGAGCACGTGGGGCTGGAGCAGCCCCCGGGGTGGTTGGTGAGCTGGGGGGCAGCAGGGCTTGCTGGTCCCTGCACTGCAGCTGGTTGAGGGATGAGGAATGCAGATGTCAGGAGCGAGCAGGAAATCTCTGGGCACGCGTAGGAGCATCCCTGGGCCGTAGTCTGGCACAGCAGCTGGCCCAGAACGCTCGGGGGATGTCCCCGGGTTTGCCCCGGGAATGCCGCGTGGTGCTGACCCCGCTGTCCCTTCCCTGCAGCTCCGCCGCCCCCCCTGCAGATGCTGCGGAACGGAGGGCGCGACGCCCCCCCGCCCCCACCCCCCTACAGACTGCACGGCCCCGCCGAGCCCCCCAGCCGGGGGAAGCCCCCGCCGCCCCCCACCCGGACCCCGGCCGGGCCGCCACCGCCACCACCGCCCGTGCGGAACGGGCACCGGGACTCCATCTCCACCGTCAGAGCATTCCTGGGTGAGTGGGACCCCCACGGATCCCCCCTGTGGCTTTGGCCAGGCTCCCCCGGAGCTCACTTCCCTCACCTGCCCCTTCTGCCATTTCTTCGCAGATGACTTTGAATCCAAATACTCCTTTCATCCCGTTGAAGACTTCCCAGCCCCAGAGGAATATAAATACTTCCAGAGAATCTACCCCAGCAAAACAAACAGAGGTGAGGAGGAGGAGGGGGTGTCCCAAATTCCCTCTTCCCCTCCAGTGCCCTTGGGGCTGGCACTGTCCTGTTTGTCCCTGCAACGGCCATGCCCAGAGCTCTGCCTCTGTTCTGGGGGTGCTGAGCCCCATTCTCAGGGGTACCAAGCCCTGAAGGCACCTCTCTTTGCTGCAGGGGGGCTAGAAATTTGGGCTGAGTGAACGCCCTATCCCACCGGCTCCTGGTTTGCCTGCTTGGAAATGCTGCAGGGCTCATTCCTGCCTTTGCTGAGCACCATTGGTACCAAAGGCGATCTCGAAGGACCCCGCAGCCAGAGCCACGGCTGGGCAGGGGCTGGGGGGATGTGGACCCTATGTGTATGCCAGGATAGTCTCAGAGCACCAGTGCTTGGACCTGGCAGAGCTCAAAGTGCCCTTGGTGCTGCGCGTCAGCGCTGCGGATCCCGGCGGAGACTCCGGGGAGAATGGGATGCTCGTTTATTTTTAGAGCCATGAATGTTTAATGCGGGTTTGAAAAGCCCCGAGCTCGGTGCGGCTGCAGCGGCTGCTGCCAGGCGCAAATCCCAGGCTCCAGATCTCCGCGGGGAGGTCGGGGGGGGGCCGGCAGCTGGCGCGGGGGTGTGGAGGAGGGAAAGCAGACGTGCTGGATCCGGCTCTGCGGAGCTCCCGCTTCCAACAGGCTTCCTTGTCTTCCAGCTACGCGTGGGGCTCCCCCTCTGCCCCCCATCCCCAGGTGAAACCGAGCTGTGCAGGTGGATTGTTCCAGAGCAGAGACATGGACCTCCTTCCCCTTCCTCAGCCGGACCCCCCCAGCTCCCAGCCCCCCGGATCCTGCATGACACACTCCCAGCCTCTCCGGTTTTCCTAGGACAAGCGGATCTCCCCAGTCCAGCGTGCTCCGCCAGCCCTGCCTCATCTATGCACCCCCCAGGATTCAGTGACCTCGTGGCAAGCCTGGATGGGTCCATCCCTCATTCCTCCTCATGGATCCTGGGTTGGGATCTGCCTGGGAGCCGGGCACGGGACTTGAGGCCAAGCCGTGTTCTGGCTGTTGGGACCAGGGGGCCTCATGGAGAGGGGCTGGGGTCAGGCAGGGAATGGACACGCTGTGAGACCCCCAGAGTGAGGGGAAACAGGGACAGGCCGGCAGAGCCTCGTTATCCTGGGAAAGCCTGTTGTCCAGGTGGAACCTTGTTATCCTGGCACAGCCCATTGCTTTTTTTGCACAGGAGCCGGTGGAGGCGGGGGGGGGAACGTGAGTGGGACCATGCAGGGACACCTCGACAGCACCGGGCTGGTGGGGACCCTCTTTCTCTGACCCCACAGGGGGGACACCCCCATGTACCCCCCTCAAAACCACTGCTCCCCTGGCACTCCCCCCCACGGTTCCCCTGGCTCTCACTGCTGACTCCCCCCTAAACTTGAGCATTTTAACAAGAAAACACTAATTACATGGGGAGGGGGGCTGTTTGTGCTGGGTCTGGTGCATCAGGGGGCACGTTGAGGGGCCCTGGGAGCCGGTGATGTTTTGCCTTACACTCCCTGTCCGACGGGTGGTCCCGGGGCGGGGGTCACACTAACGTAGTTACTGATCTCTTTGTACCATAGCAGGAAGGGCACGGGGTGCAGGGGGGTCACTCCTGCAGACGGGTTTGGGGCTCATTCAGGGGATTTTTTCTATGATGATGGACCTTCCCCTGTTGAAGCTGGAGCAAGTTGGGTGAGGGGTGAGTGGGGGGTTTCTCTGGAGAATGAGCCCCCCCCCCAGTGCTGCCCTTTGGGTTAAATAAAGGTTCAACACGGTTCTGCCCCTCCTGGAGCGAGGGGCCCTTTTAAAAGGGAACAGAGGATTTTGGAGGAGCTGGAAATTACATTTAAATAAAAGTAATAAAGTGATAAATGATATCAAGGACACTGTCTAAGGGGAGGTCCTCAGGAACCCCTTTTCTTTCTTGGAGGTGATGCCCCAAAGGCTGGGGGCAGGGTACTTTGGCAGACAGAGTGGAGGGTACTGAGCACACAGAAGCAGTGGGAAGGCAGGATCGGGGTTTCTAGTGGCACTGGGACCACCGGGAAGGAGGATTGTGGGTACTGGGAGCAGGGGGAGGGGGATTGACGGGTGTGAGCACTGGGAGCGTGGGCTAAGCGCGGTGGTGAATACTGGGAGGAGGGGTGAAGAGTACTGGGAGCATGGAGAGACAAGATTAGGCGGCAGTAGAAAGGCGGTAGAGGAGGAACTGGTGGCACTGGGAGTAAGGGGAAGGCTGGGCTGGGGGTTGGGGGTTGCGGGCCGTGGGAGCACTGGGGGGTACTGGGAGCACTGAGTACCCTCAGGCAGACCACAGCTCCCAGCATGCCCCGCGCGCCGCCCTCGGCATCTTCCGCCGTGCCTCGGGTACCCTCGCTGATTGGCTGCTGTGTTGCGGCCCTTCCTCCGGTTTCGGCGATTGGCGGCTGCGGCAGCGGCACAGCCAATGGGGCGAAAGGGGCGGGGCCAGCTCGGCCTGGTGGCGGGAAGTGCGGAGCCGGGGCTCATTTGGCGCGAGAAGGTTGGTGCCGTTAGCGCGGGGAAGCGGAGGGGACCTGAGGAGGTTTGGGGGGTATGGGGGTCAGAGATGAGGGGCAGCGCAGTGGGGACTGGGACTGGGGGGGCAGGGGGCGGCCGGGAACCGCGGGGCTGGCGGTCTTTCTCACTTGACCGGGTCCCGCCCTCTGACCGCTGTCCTCCACCGGTAGCCCCCGCCATGGCCAGCAGCAGCCCTAAGAACCAGCCCACCATCAACTTCCCCCGCACGAGGAGCGCCCGCCGCCTCGCTGCCCCCTCGGCCAAGAGCGACCCCGACGCCTCTGCTCTGCGCCCCTCGCCGCGTTCCAAGACCTCAAGCCCCGCCGACCCCGGCCAGGCCACACCGGGCACACGCTCAGGCCGGACCACAGCGCAGCCCCTGAGCCCCAAAGTGCAGCCCCTGAGCCCCCGCAAACGCCTGGGTAAGTGCTTCCGCCGGGACCCCCCGGGAATGTCAGGGGGTGCATCCCCCTTCGCACCTCGGGGAGCTGGGGCAAACAGATGGGCCCAGCCCCGTCTGGCTCTAGTCCAGATGCATTTGTGGCTTCACCCCCATTTCGGGAGGAAGAGCTACTCACGCGGGACTTTTTGGAGGGGGCTGAAGCACAAAATCCCCCAGGGAGAGCGGCCCCGTGTCAGCACCAACGTATTGCCCTTGCAGGTGATGACAACCTGTGCAATGTCCCCCATGCCCTGCCTGGCTCCCCAGCCAAGCGCAGCAAGGAGAACCGGGGCCGTCGCCTGCTCTTTGGGGACCCCTCGGCCTCCCCCGAGCAGCCCAAGAGCCCGGGGCCATCCCCGCGGAGCAGGGGGCCAGAGACCCCTCGGAGCTCGGGGCTCAGCAGGCAGCACCCACGCACCCGGCTCTTCAGGCAGGAAGGTGAGTGTGGGCAGGGCTGGATATGGGGTTGTGGATGGGATATGGGGGGATGCAGGGATGGGATAAGGATTGGGAATATGGATAGGGTGGGATAGAGTTGAAAGTGGAGCAAAGGATGGGGTTGGGGATAGGAATGGGAGTGAGGTGGGCGACAGAGCCAGGGATAGGGATGGGTATATAGAGCTGGGGATAGATATGAAGGCAGGGATGGGGATGGGGACATGGATGGGGATGATGATCAGTTGGGATGGCGTCCCAGCAGTGCCACATCCTTCCCTGAATCCTCTTGCTTCCTGTACAGGTACCTGTTACCAGCAGGTCAAGCAGGTGCTGCATGCAGCCGTGCCCGACCGGCTCCAGGGCAGGGAGCGGGAGACTGGGATCCTCCGGCAGTTCCTGCGGGAACACGTCCTGGGGCGCCGTCCCGGCAGCCTCTACGTGTCCGGAGCCCCCGGGACTGGGAAAACAGCCTGTCTGAGCCGTGTTCTGCTCGACTGCAAGGTGTGTGCCATGGCCACAGCCGTGGGGCTGCTGTGGGGGCTGGGGGCGGTGGGATGGGGCTAGTGTAACATTCGCATTCCCGGCAGGACGAGCTGGCCAGGAGCAAGACTGTGGTGCTGAACTGCATGGCACTGGGCAGCCCCCACAGCGTCTTCCCTGCCCTGGCACAGCACCTGGGGCTGCCCGTGGCCACTGGCCGGGAGCGTGTCCGGAGCCTGGAGAAGCATCTGACGGCCCAGGGGCCCATGGTGTGAGTTCCCTGTCTCTGGTGGGTGGAGTGGGATCCCCCTGGATGCCAGCCAGGAGAGGCAGGCTAGCAGCAGCTCTGCCTTCCCTGCTTGGAGTGCTGTGAGGGGGCAGAGCAGGGGTTGATCTGGGCTCTCCCACAGCCTCCTGGTGCTGGATGAACTGGACCAACTAGAGAGCAAAGGCCAGGATGTGCTCTACACCCTCTTTGAGTGGCCCCAGCTGCCCAGTTCCAGGCTCGTCCTCGTGGGTGAGTGTGTGGGGTGTAACACTGCTGCCCTGGGCACCCTCCCTCCCTCCACCCAAAAGGGGGGGGTTGATGGGGACTTGTCTTTGCAGCCCCCTCCTGCTCCCTCTTTGGAGAACAGCCCTCATCCTCCTCTTCCCCTCTCCCTGCAGGATTGGCCAATGCCCTGGACCTGACAGACCGCAGCCTGGCCAGGCTGGGAGTCCACACAGCCGGCAGCCCCCAGCTGCTCCACTTCCCACCCTACACCAAGGAGCAGCTCACCTGCATCCTGCAGGAGCGGCTGGGGCAGGTGGGGACACAGGGAGGACAGAGGGTGGGGCATGGGGTCCTCTGCCCACATGGGTGGCAGCACTGATGGCCCTGGTGCCTCACAGGTGGCAGGTGACCCCGTCCTGGACTCTGCTGCGCTCCAGTTCTGTGCCCGCAAGGTCTCTGCAGTTTCCGGTGATGCCCGCAAGGCCCTGGATGTTTGTAGGTCAGTGCGTGCCCCAAAACCTGGTGGTGCCAGGGCCAGCTTGGTCCCTGTGGGTCTCCATGGCTTCCCTGCACCACGGTGTTTGTGCCAGGGGTGCACCGTGCTCTGCCTGGTGCTCAAGGCTGTCCCTCCCCAGGCGTGCCGTGGAGGTGGTGGAGCTGGAGGTGCGAGGCCAGACCCTGCTCAAGCCACTGCCTGGGGGTGAGTCACTGCTGCCAGAGCCAAAACCCTTGGGGGGCGCTTCTCTGGGGCCACCTCCGTGGGAATCTGGGCTCCCTTTGTGGGGCATTTTCCTCCACTACCAACTCTGTTTTCTCACTTCCTTGGGATCTTTTCTCTGTCGCACAGGTGACTCCCCAGTGTCCCCCGTCCCCAAGCGCGTGGGGCTCCTGCACGTCTCCCGGGTGCTCTCGGAGGTGTTTGGGGACAGGCTGGCAGGAGGGTCCCAGGGGGCCCAGGACACCTTCCCGATGCAGCAGAAGGTGCTGCTCTGCTCCCTCCTCCTGCTTACCCGGCGCTCACAGACCCGTGAGGTGACCCTGGGGAAGGTGAGTGGCAGTGGGACCGTCTCAGGGCTGTACGTGGGCAATGGGTGGGTGTCCCTGGGGTATCTCTTGGGTGCTTTGCTGTGGTGTAACCCCCCCTGCCCTTCCCAGCTCCACGACACCTACAGCCAGGTGTGCCGACGGCAGCAGCTTCCCGCAGTTGACCAGGCTGAGTGTCTGTCCCTTGTCGCCCTCCTGGAGTCCCGTGGTGTCCTCGAGCTCAAGAGGGCCAAGGAGGCCCGGCTGGCCAAGGTACCATGGGATTGGTGAGGCTGGGTCTGGTGGCAGCACTGGGGTGCAGTGATGGGACATGATCCAGTGGTGGGACTGGGGCAGGGTCTGGCAGCACGGTGCTGAGCATCCCTGTTCTCCCACCCAGGTTTCCCTGACGCTGGAGGAGGCAGCGCTGGAGCACAGGCTGCAGGACACGGCACTAGTGGGCAGCATCCTGGCCCAGGGACTGCATTAACCCCCCTGCACCCTCCCCATGGCCCCAAGGAGGATTTCACTGCTGTGGCAAGAGCAGACAAGTGGATCCCATGATCTGGGGCATTTGTCAAGTTCTGCCTTGGGGCTGTCAGTCTGGGGTCTTTTTATTAATATTTTTAATATAATAATATTATTAATGTTATATTGTAATTTCTGCATGATGGGAGCTTAGGCGGGAGGCTGGGACACCCCCCAGTCCCTTTGCAGGGAGTGGTGGGTGCTCCTGGCCACCCTTGCCACCCTGATGTGTGATCCTGAGGTCCAGTGTTGCTCCTGCCATGAATTAAGGACCATGTTTGCTCCCAACTCTTTCAGAGCCCTCTGAGGCCCTCCACAACCTTCACCACCACTCTGGCTGCAGGGAGAATCTTCCCAGTACCAGCCCTGCTCTGGGTCCCAGTGCTGGCAGTGGCAGAGGGGGTGCAGGGATCCCTGGAGGGGGACAGGACTGGAGGATCCCTTTATCTCCTGCCATGAAATAAAGTTGTTTTAATTTAGCTCTGGCTTCTGCCCCCCCTGTTTAACCCCTCTCCCCCTAGTCCCTGCCTGCCCCACGCTATGGGGACCTGGTCCTGTCCTCCCCAACCCGTCTCCTGGGCTCCAGCCCCAGCCTCAGCTCCTGGCCCCAGCTCTTCCATTTCTGTTAAATAATGGACGCTTTGACCTAATTTTGCAGCTTCCTCATCACGGGGGGGCTCCAAATGGGGGTGGGGGCGGGGAGTGAGAGGGGATGAGGCTCTGCTTGTGCCCCACATCCCTCCATCCCACCCTACCTCTGCCATCCCATCCTGTCCCCCAGGACCCCTGTCTGCCCCTCAGCAGCTCCTGGCCAGGCATGGGGCGTTGGTGCTGGGGGAGGATGTGAGTGGTACTGGAGTCCCCAGTGTGCCTCAGTTTCCTTGTGGCCCCAGGGGATTGCCCTGCCATGTCCCAGCTCCACCCCGGCTCTGCCCCTCAGCTCTGTGGCATCCCTGCAGGTCACAGGACACGGGGACATTTGCCGGGTGCCCAGGACAAGGACACAAAGGGGAAGAGCCTGGTGGGTGCCACCACAAGCTGGGCAGCCCCCTCTCTCCACCGTTGCATGGCCAGGGGACACCTTGGGGACACGTCGGTTCCTGTTGGCCATGGGGATCAGCGAGGAAACCGAGGCAGGGGGGGCACGGGGGAATCTGGGAGCCCCGGGGGCCCCGAGCAGAGCAGGCTCAGCCCTCGCTGCCGGCGCTATTTATAGCCGGCACTGCCATGTGTCGGACGTGTGCGGCCGCACGGGCGGGCGCCGGGGTCAGCCCAGGCTGTGCCTGCTCTGGGCTGTGTCCCGGTGCCCTCACCACATCAGGGGCCTTGGGGGACCTTGTCCCTGCCCCTCCCCACATCATGGGGCTCAGCGGGCACCGCGACCCAGCCACCCATCACCAGGCTCTGGGGCTGAGTGGGTACTGGCGTCATCCTGCCTGTGGGCAGAGATGGGGTCTGGGGGTCCCCAGCTCCCCACAGGCCATGGCGGCCACATCCTGCCCTGTGCCAGCCTCAGGGAGTGACGCAGCCCCACGGCACATGGTGACATGGCACACAGTGACAGTGTCAGGAAGGAAGCGCCTGGCAGCGTGCGGGTCCGTGGTGACGCAGTGGTGATGCAGGCAGGCATCCTTCTCCATCTCTTCCCCTCGGTTGCTCCATCCCTGGCCCCCCATGGTGGTGGGTGACGTGATGGTGGCACAGGCAGGTGCAGGCAGGGCACTAGGACATCCCCACATCTGGGCTAGACTGGCTGTGGTGGGCACCCCGCAGCGAGCCTGGAGGGCTGCCAGTCCTGGCGCTGTCCCTGAGGTGTCCTGGCTGTGTGCATGAGGATGCGGACAGCAGAGCAGTGTAGGGGACATGGCCCCCCTTGCCACACCAGTGCCAGCTCCAGCTCCACTCTGCCGCAGTGGATGAAAAATCGATGGCGCAGCTGGATCCAGGCGCGTGGGTGCCGGAGCTCCCGCTGGAGCCGTTTGTCACCGTGGGCTGGCAGTGCTGCGGTGGGAGCAGCGTGGCAAGGGGACACCCTGGGACACCCAGCAGTGATGTGGGGAGGCTGAGGGGGCCTCTGGGGTCCTGTCCCCCAACTCCAGCACACGTGTGCCCATGTCCCCTGTCCCTGCACACACGTGCCATGCCCACGGGGCCGGGCAGTGCCCAGCTGTGCCGTGGGCAGCCCCACGCACGCGTGTCCGGCCCGAGTGCGCGGCGGGGGCTCGGTGTCCCCTCGGCGGTGTCCCCGGTGCCCCGGCTGCCTTGCTGTCCTCCCTTGCACTCTCCTTACATAAGTGGCCACGTGGCGGGCACGGCCGCCTCCCGCCGCGCCGTCACCGCCGGCACCCAGATTCCATCTGACAGCCCCTTTCCGCTCGGCTGCTCCCGCCTGGCACCGGGGCCGGGGGTGCGGGGCAGGACCCCGTGCGACCCCGCCGCGCCCGGTCTGTGGGGCCTCAGTGGGATGGGGACAGGGCCACCCTGTCCTCGTGGCACCTCCTGCCGCGCCCTGGCACCCGCTGCTGTCCTGCCCACCCCGCTGCCGGGGCGCTGCCGGGCCTCGGTGCCGCGACGCCACGGGACAGACGGGGCTGGGCCCCATGGCCGGGCAGGCTCCGCCTGGTGATGGGCTCAGTCCCGTGGGGTTGTGCTCGGGGGTCCCTGGTGCCCGGCAGCCGTCCCGGTGGGAGCAGAGGGGGGTCGGGCTGGCCGCTGTGCACATCTGGGAGTGATTTGGCACATTCCACTGGGCTGAGCACATGCCGGCGCCTGGGCCTCGCCGCCGCGGCCCTGGTGTGTGCGGGGAGGGGGCCAGAGGCTGCTCCAGGCCCTGGCTGCCCACAGCCGGCCAGGGTGTCCAGTTTTGTTCTGGTGAGCACACGAGGGAAACTGAGGCACGGGAATGTGCTGAATGGCCTGGTGGGCACCACCCTCCTGCGTGGGCACTGTGGGATCCTGACAGGCACCCAGGGGTCCTGGGCAGTGGGGGGCCAGCGTGACTCCCCCTGGGGATGTGCTGAGGCTGCCTACACTTTTCACGTGTGTCTTCCTGCCCCACTGCCCTTCTAGCCCTGGTGCCACAGGATCTGGACTGTGCTGTTGGGTGTAGGGCTTTGGGTGCCCTTTCTGGCCTCCCAGAATGTGGCTGGGTAGCCCGTGTTTGTGTCTCCATCGCCATCCCCTTCCTAGAATCATGCTCTCTCCAGGGACAGACAGAGCAGGGAATCCCCCTGGAACCAGGCACTCTACATCCCCAGGTTGCCATAGGTACCCTCAGCCCTTCCCCTCTGAGCTCTCCCCTCTTTCCCCCAGTGTGTTTCCATCTCTTCCCTGCACACCTGGAGCACCCGCCCTGTATTTTCCCCCATGTGTGTGCCCCAGTCCCCCACCCAGGGGGTGGATGTGCGTATCCAGAGGCAAAGAAGAGGGAAGCGGGCTGAGGGGGGGCGTTGGAGCATCTCCTCCTGTGAGACTGGGGGAAAGAAGGGTGAGGGGGGCGTCGAGGCTGCGGTGAGCGGCCCCTTTAAGAGCCCCCCCCCCCGGCGCGGCGCGCGCACCCACTTTCTCCCCTTCCGCTTTCTGGAGACTTCAAAGAGTTACAAAGCAGAGATGGCCCCGCCCCCGACCCGCCCCCGCCCGCACCCCATTGGCCGGCAGGGCGGAGCGGGGGGCGTGGTCACCGGGAGGGGCGTGGCGTCATCCCGCTTCCCCCCGCCCTCCGCCGCCGCCGCCGCCGCCGCTGCCGCCGCCGCCCCGCCCGGCCCAGCCCCGGGTAAAGTTTCCCCGCGAGCACATGACTCGCAATGGCCGCGGCCGCCGCTCGGTGAACCCTCCCGGGAACCCCTACCCCACCCCTCCCTTACCCCTCTAAGCCGGGGCGAACCCCCCCTTTTCCCCGCTCCTTCCCGGTGCCGCCGCCATGCAGCCACCACCGGGAACTCCCCGGGTTTAAGGATTTCGGTGTTGGAGTCTCCGTGAGCAGGTAATAAGGGGTCTCTGGATCTATCCGTGGGAGCGGGATTGGGAAGGAAGGTCTTGATGCGGCTCGAGTACCGCCTCTGGGGATCCCCCTCCGGTAACGGGTGATCCCGGGGTTCCCGCAGCGGGGGAGGGACTCCGCCGGGCTGCGGCTGCCGGGAGCACTGGAACCGCAGCGGGTTCGGGATCGCGGCTTTGGCCTCTGCCTCTTACACTGGGCTTGGGGGTGCTGGAGTTCCCTCTCTCGGTACCGACCGCCTGGGCGCTCCCGAGCGGCAGCGCTGCCCCCCCACCCCGGGACGGGCTCCGGGGAGGCTCCGGTAGCCTCCATACCCCACCGGGGACCGGACGACCGCCACACAGCGCGGTGCTGGGGAGACCTCCCTGGGATTACCGGGCTCTCCTGGGCCGCCGGTGTGCGCAGCCACATTCCCCCCACCACCTTCCCGCGGCGGGGGG